AAAAGAGCTTCTCGAGGGATGTAATATGGGACTTTCCAATGGGAACATTTAGCCATAATCAGTGCAAGTGAAACGGTGTCACTCTAGACCAGCCAGCATATTTACAGGGACAGTTCACCCAAAAATGAAAATGTGCTGTTAATTTACTCAACCTCAGGCCATCCAAGACGTAGGTGGCTTTTAGTGTAACAGTAAAGAAGATTTTTAGCTGAAACTGTGGTCCTTGGTGATTCATAGAATGCAGAATTGAGTAAAAAAAACATAAAGCATAAACAGGCAAGACAAAATTAACACTCATGGCTCCTGAAAATATATTGAGGTCTTATGAAGAGAAACGATCAGTCTGTGCAAGAAACTGAACATTATTTACAACATTATGACTTGTAATCCAGAGCCTTGGGCAAACGGTCCAGATAGTGCTATCCAATTCACGAACGAATCATTCTTTTGAACTGGTCAAAACACCAGCGTATATGATCGTATGATGAATGAACTCATTCAACGCTCCAGTTCCTCCGACTCGGATCGAAGACGAGATGAGCCGTGATACAAGCATGCTTTATATGCTTTAGACATCTGCATTTCACATCTTTATTGCATAATATAACAATATAATTGTGTATACGTGACGTGATTATGTAAACCAACTGGTGAATCGGTTATTTGAACCTATTAATTGAAACAAACTGTGTGAAAGAACCAGTTCTCGGAAAATAATCAGATTTCCCCATTTGCCTGAGGCATTACAGGTCATAATGTCGAAAATAATGTTTAGCTTCTTGCAAAAAACCAAACGTTTCACTTAATAAGGCCTCAATATATTGTCAGGAGCCATGGGTATTAATTTTGTGTTGCCTGAAATGCTTTTTTGACTCTCAAAATGCCAGTAGCTTACATTTGATGAATTCAAAACGTAATAATCACTTTAATGTAGCTTGCGCTCACTGTTGTACATGGAAGCAGGTACGGGCGGATGACGTATGGAGGTCGGCTTTGCGCATGCGCCGCTCAGAATTGAAGCACGCGCAAGCGCAGGGGAGAGATCAAAACAAAACAACGGTCACTTATTAGAAGTACAAAACGAGGATTTGTAAAGAAGAATGTCAGAGGATTTCGATATAAGCCAAGAGGAGACTGGTTTTCCTTTGCTTCCTTTGCTCCTGTTAACAAACGTTGGTTTTCACGAGACTCACTGGCGCATGCGCAACGCTGACCTCATATGTCATCCTCCCGGAACTGCTTCCGTGTACAACTGTTGGCACAAGCTACATTAAAGTGATTATTACGTTTTGAATATGGATATTTTTCTTAAAAAAACACATCGATTAGCTACAGAAGGCCTTTGTTCACCCCCCGGGGCTGTGTGAGGCACTTTTTTTTTATGGCTGGGTGCTTTTTATTTAACTTTTTTTGGACTGATGCATGTAACACCCGCTGAGTGCCATGAAACAGCTTGAAAGATCAAAGACAATTTTTAATATAACTCCGACTGGATTCGTCTGAAAGAAGAAAGTCATATACACCTATGATGACTTGAGGGTGAGTAATTT